TGCTGCCAGAGCACACTGGAGGGTCTCGAGTGGTGCCTCTTTCCAGGATAACGTGTTGCTAGTCATTGCGTACGAACACGTCGTGCTGCCGTTGTCTGCACTCAGCGTCGTTCATCCGCTGTTGACGCTGGGGCACCGTTCACCTTCTGCCAACGTATCACACCTCTCGCAGTTCCGATAAGCTTCTACCGCGATCCGTCAAGTTCAATGCAAGCTTTGATGGATCTGTTTATGAGAGGAGTGGAAAGATAGCCACGCCCCCCTATTGTAGTTGACTGCATCGCAAAGCTGAACTTGGATACGCCGTCAGTATTACAAGGCTAAGCTGCAACGCTCTCTACTCGGAGACCTCCCCAGTCCGAAATCACCTTTGAAATGTCTCAACTCAGTACGTTCAGATTACCAAGGCCTGCTCTACAACAGCCTTTCTTGCAGCCCTCACAAAGCTCTTTCTTGTGGGGAGGAGTAGCCTTTTTTTCGTACACACGCCGCTCCATTGCCACGCCCGCCCACTTCTTCAACCGATATGCGATTCGATCGACGTATGTGACCTCATTCAGGGAGAAAATCCCCAGTCGATTGCACACTCTGCATCGCTGATTGTAAACGACTGCATTATAGCCGCCTCCTGGATATCCTTGAATCTGCAAAGCCACGTTTCCGCTTGTCCAAGTTTTGTTGGAACAGGCGCCGTTGTCGCAAGTGAACTTTCCCACTACCGAGGCGAAGTCAGTGTTGTTGGGCTCTCGTTTGGTCTTTCTGCTGACCCAGACGACGGTGGTAATATGGTCGATAACGTCATTGGCGACTTTTGGGTGAAGCAGCGGGAACGTAAAAGAAGTCTTCTTTCCGGTACTGCGATTGCAAGGGGTTTTCTTCGCCATCTTGAGGTAGGAAGAAAATGTGCTTTTTGGGACAAGAGTCCGTTTCCGTCTTTCGAGCGATTGCGCAAATGATGATGTCTGAAGGTGAGCGTCTCACTGAAGGCTTTCGCCCACAGTCAGGGGACGGCTTATTTAAAGCATTGCAAGAGCGGCGCGGGGTAACCAACTCAGAATGAATATGATAGGCGGCGAGAATGCAGTATACAGAGCACATTAGTCTGGCGGTGGACTTGTTTTACGGGCGTATATATGCAGGCCAACCAACAAGACTGCACTGGCTTATAGGACAGCGGCGAGGTGAAGTCCCGTCCCACACAATAGGGGTTACGGGAGCTAATGACAAGTAGCGGCCGCGGCCCGTTCCATAGCTCGTTCCGGAACGACGGCATGGTTGGCAATTCCGACAGCATTCGTCGAAAGAAGTACATTAGTTCCTGATAGACTCAAGCTCTACCCCATGGCCCAAACTTTTTAGTCTCCGACTGCGGCTCGTAAAATGGGCTCTGCGATTCCAAGATACGTTTCTTTGTCTCCTCCCCCACTTTCTGCCGCCAGACATCATCAAGCTGCGGCCACAATGCCTCCCTCAAGTGGGGCAGATATCGCACGTCGTTGATGCAGTA